TCAGGGATTTCAAATAAACAGAATTTCTCTTCATGTTGAAAATGTTTAAACTGATCTACAAATTTAAACAAAGACTGAACTAAATGCTCCTGCTTCGTCCACAATATTAGTCTCTGAATTTTCATAATGAAATTAACATCAGGCCATTAAAAGACCCACTACTTTCTGCAATAAGTCCAAGTAAAGGATTACAGTTCTAGACAGATTTGAGGATGTCCAAACGAATGAACTGACAAATCTACATGCATCCGACATCAGAAAACATCAGCACCAGCATCATGAGTGTTGTGTTTCGCACTTGTAACTGATGTTCTACCATAACATCCCAAAAAGCTTATTTGGCATGCAACTGACTGCATAACTTGAAATCTGCCCTGCATGACAGAGTAACTTTCAGCCTAGTCTTGCTGCTCTCCTTAGCAGGGCATTGAGTATAAACCAGAAATGATCCCAGCTTTTGACAATGTTCATCATGCTCCACTAAGGTAAAACTGTCTCAGCTGCTTTAAGTGCTTGCTAGCCTTTGATTTTCAGAAATTGAGAAATATTTTGTTAAATTATAGACAGTTTTGGTTTTTTTCTAACAATGCTGAACAGCCCTGTTGATTAACCATCCCAGTTTATAATGGTAAAAATATCATCTAACAATCCTCTGCAAAAACTATAAATATTAGTCACATCTCTTCTAAAAATCCAGTAAGATATCTAGTAAAGCTCAGTACAACACCAAGGGATTTTTATTTTTTTTTAAAGTGACCATGAAAAATAATTCTGTTAAAAGACATACTGAAATACTACTTGGGCTTTGTTGAACAAACAACTGTGGATAAGAAAATATTTTAAAGGAAAGCAATTTTTTCTAGGCTTATAGGGCATTAAGATGAAAACTTGGAGAAAACTCTGATGTTCTCTCCCTATCAGTGCTGTGACAGGTTTTAACTAAAGCTTAAGATTGCCAAGCACAGTAAGGATACAGTCTCACACAATGTCAAATAAAATGTGAGTGAACTTCTAAACAAACACTATTTGGTAGCAGCAAACAGGTTATAGAAAGGAAGAATTGTTTGCAGAGGCATGGAAAGTCTCAACTACTCTAATGCACACAGAAATAATACACAGTATGCTATTCTTCATATCTGAATGTATCACCCATCCTAGTCCATCTCAGATGTGGCCATTTCTAGAAATACACTAGAAACATCAAAATTGAAAACAAAAAGGGAGAGTCATGCTGTGTTGCACTGAATGGTCAAATTTGGGGAATGTACTCCTGAACACAGATGCACCTTTCTAGAGGTATTTCCAATTCTAGTGGAAGTTTCCATCTTTAACAGAGGAATCACTAAAATAAGCAAAAACTTTAAAAACAAAATGAGTATTTCAACTGTCTCCACTGTACCACATATACATTGTACACACAATGTACCCTTGTGAACGTTAACCAAGTTTCACAAGGTGCAGGGAGTTCCGTGACCAAATCCATCTTTTTAGTTTACTAACTTTTTCTCCAATTTCCTCTTTAATACACAATATATTTAATAACACAATCTTCTAGAGAAATTAATATCAGAAGATATACTAGAAATACTATTACTTTTTAAAATTACTACATTCAACTTACAAAAGGAAAGAAGCAAAGTTATTAACACACGCTAGCCACCAAATGATGCGTTTAAAACATGTGAATGCCCTTTATGCACAAATGTATTTTCTTTCCATGCTTTATGAGGGTAAAATATCAAGAATGATATAAGGCTGAAATATGCAAACAATACATTTTCCCTAATTTCCTTCACAGTAAGGACATTGTAATGCACCTAAATATGATAAGTATCTTTTAGTGGTTACACAAATGACATTTTGCAATATGGGCTACTATTTGATATTCAGATTGTAGATAGGAATGCTGGTCTAGGTAGCTCAGATGGCTGTTTATAGTTATTACTTTTTGCCTGCCAATATAATCCTAAAAATCTTTTTTGACAAGTCAGAAAGTATGCCAGAAAATGAGTGTCACTATGCTGTGAGAAATGTGCAAGTGAATAATTTCTTGTTTTCTTTTACCAAGCACTAATAAGTGGGAAAAAAAGTAATCAATCAGAAGATTAATTCAACAAAATCTAACAGTATATCTACTGTGAAACTACAGGTAAAATTCAAACCAGAGCAATCATTTTATGATTTATCTCCTTCCAGACCGAGCTAAGCAAGTGCACATATTATATCTGAGAATATTAGATATATTCTTATGTTTTAGTCCTTCACAAAAGCAATTTATTTTCTTGGGAGATATGCTTTTTGCTAATTTTAAAGGAAAAAAATCTTAGTGAAAACCTTCTCAACATGGAAAAAAACCCCAAATCCAAGTAATGTTTAGCTTTGGCTCAGTCAAAATGTTTGTGTGCAATAAACCCATTTAGCAACACTGTAAGTAGTAAAACAGAACAGAATTACCAACATAGAAGTTGAGGTCCATTTTGGTAATTTTCTTTTTGGAAAAAAAACCAAACCCATTACCAGCAGCAGCTCTCTAAATGTAGCACCCTCCAGAGCTTCATATGTTGAAGGTCCTGCACTGCTGGTTTCTTAAATAATTTTTATCAATTTTCAGCAGCTTACGAGACTTTGTAGAGGCCAAATATCAGACACAATGGTATTTTTATTGTTAGTTCTCAACAGTAATGACACTTAACTTTCCACTAAGCTTTTTCACATTGACTAAATTGTTGGGCACAAGAAAATATTCATTTATACAACAAAATTTAAGTTGGGTGTCTCAATACTATAGCAAAGCAGATGTCAGGTAATAGCTAAATAAACAAATAGCTTTGTTCTCAACTTTGCTGTGAGCAGTTCTGTACTATTTCAGATAAGGCTACATCGTAAAAAAAGCCTTAAATATTTAGCAGAAGGTAAAAGTCTAATCCGCACTTAACATCACCAGTATCTCCCCTCCCTACTGTTTTCTTCTTCCCAGAAAACAAGGTATGAAGCTCTGATCACCCCAAATAACCAAAGTAGATGCTTTGGTTTTTAATGCAGAACTAGAACTTTTTTTTTACCTTTTTCTCAGCATTCTTGTTTCAGCCATTTGAAGTTTATTGCCATTAAAGTTTCAAGAAATTCTCAATGACATTACAAAATCTTTTGCTGATGAAAGTATGAATGCTTCATTTGAGAAAAAAAGAGTAAGAATAAATTACAACTTAGTAAAAGGCACACAGAAAGTCCCTTTTCCAGACATGCACTTAGAAGTACTCAACAATGGGGACAATGAGTCAAGCTGCTAAATAATGTTTCACCTGATATCTTCCATTAAGTTCAAGCTACCACCTAACACACATAGTTTGTATTTCATAGCATTTTTCCCATCATTGGGACTCATTAATATACCTTGTAATTCATGGAGTTTCCAAATAACAACTTTGAAGAAGCAAAATTTTAAGAAAATAATTCAGAAGAGCTTAAAAATACTGTTGAGAATGAAGTGGGGGAAGGAACACAAATGGCAAGAGATTCAACTTGGTCACAAAGACAATTCCACAAAGGAGTAAAATAAACTAAAAGATGTACTTTTTTTTTTTTTTTACAGCCAAATAAAGGTAAAACACTGGAATATAACCATGTTTAAGTAGTAAGAAAATGTAATCAGCTCTGTGTTTCAGATGATTTAAAATATTTTATATTTTTTTTCTCCTCTCCCTGCCCCTGCTCCCTCCCAAAATTAATCTGAATTAAGTTTTCATTCATTTCCTGAACTTTTGAAAACCCTCTGATTTATGATTTAGCATCACTAAGTGTTATGGTTTTGTCTGGTAGCAGGGAGGGGGGTAATGGCTCCTTGAGCAACTGCTAAGAGTTCCCCTAGCTTCCAGTCTGCTGCTGGCGGCAAGCGAGCGGTTACAGTGATGGCTCCTTTTTAAATGACTCTTAACTAGTCGCCCCCCCACCCCCTCAAAACATTTGGTAACTGAGGGGGGAGGAAATGGGGGAAGAGCACCATCACCTAGCTTTGTAAGTGTCCCAGCTCAGGATGAACCCACCCCAGGCCAGGGCTGAGCCAATCGGCGCCCCTGCGAATAACATTTAAGAGGGAGAACAACGGGTTTGGTGCGGCCCGGGCAGGGCACGGCTCAGGCGGGCTGGTCCGGCCATCCAGCTGCCCGCCCGGCTTCTGCAAACCAACCTGCTGTAGCCCAATCCTCTGCCATGGCTCACCCAGGAGCCGATGAAGACCTGAATGCGAAGAGAGAAGGAAGATGCTGAAGGAGATGGCCATGCAGACACCGAGTCGGAACCATGAAAGAGAACGCTCTCAGCATTTCCCCTGCCATGTGGTGAAGAGCCGTGGAGGACCCCACGCAAGAACTAGAAGCCCCACGCTAGAGTTGGGCTGTCGTCCGGGGACTGTAGCCCCATTTGGAAAAGGACTCACGTCGGAGAAGTTCTAGAGAAGGACTGTCAACGTGATAAAGGGACTCCACATGGCAGCCGGGAAAGACTTTGAGGAGGAAGGAGCAGTGGACTGACTGCACCCCCTGTGCCTCTGGCAGGGGCGGGGAGAAGGTACAGAACAAAGCCTTTGGGAGGAAGGGAGGGGTGAGGGAGAAATGCCTTTTTAAGATATGGTTTCTCTCTTTCAATATCCTGCTTCTTGTCGTAAATAGTTAATAAATTGTTGTTTTCTTGCTCTTACCAAGTCATGTCGGTTTCTTGCCCGTCACCCTGAGTGGTGAGTGAAACCCTCCCTGTCCCTGCCTCAGCCCACCAGCTGTTTAGCAAAAACTGTCCCTGTGTTTTTATAAACCACAACATTAAGACTCTTTGAAGACCTCATTTCTGCTTCCTTTCAACCACTCAATAACTTGACTTTTATACTTATGTGATACTAGAGACAAATAACACTGGGGGTTATTTCTAATGAGCCTATTGTAACATTTGTGCTGTTCGAGATGAAGTAGAATATTTCAAAGGTAGTTAGAGCAGAACTAGAGACTCACCTTTGTGCTTGGGTGCTATAGCTGTTGTCATAGGAATCATAGCTTTGTTCATCATAAGCAGTTCCATAACCATCATCATACTCCTGAAAGGTTATAAAAGAAAGGTAATATCAACCACAAGCACACTCCAGAAACAAAGTAGTAACCTCGTGTTAAATATGAAAGACAAAACTCTCCTGAAATGCATGTATGCCATTATGAAATGACAAAATTATATTAATACAGACTACTTCCATTTAGGAGGTCACACACATCTAAATTACTTTTGAGGTATTTTGAACTACTGGCAACGTGCTTCAAAAAAAATTTTTTTTTTTTTAGTTAACACTGGCTTGTGCAGAGACAGTACAAATCCTTCACATCTCCATGTACTTGAAATTGAGATGAGTGAGCTACTGATCTTCAGGAAAGCTCTAGGAAGCACCTCAGGAATCAAAACATCTGAATATTGTGCAACTGACTTAAGCAGCTGTCATAAACTCAACATTCTACATAGACTACAGATGGGAAAGAAATTCCCTAGAGATAAGACTAGTAGGAATGATGCATTTACTTCTTTGAATGCCCTCTGTATACTCTTCAACTTGGGGGAACTTAGCATCCATTAAGAAACTAAAAGTAAGGATTTTTTTTTCTCCCACATTATTCACACTATTTAAGTATACACTGTAGTAACACTCTTCCCAAAATAGCACTGGATTTAAACACCAAGTTGAACAGACCACTAACTTCAGCTACAAGCCATACAGAAATTTAAGGTAAAACAAGTTAATGATGCTGTCGCTTCCCAGAGAAGAATAAACTATAAAAATTCAAAGAATCATCACCAGTTTATTGTTGAATCCAATAATAAATCTAACTGAGCTCAACACATGAAACTTAGAAATGGCTCTTTGTCCTGAATTCCTAGGAAATCTTAATATCCAAATCCTATGCAAATATGCCAAAGACCTCAATGGATATTTTTAGGAGTATCTTGTCCAGGTCTGCCAGATGAGAATGACCTAATAAGAAGACACTTTGAAGATACAGGGATCCAGAGAAATGAAAATCAGGCACCATCTTATATATGTTGTTTTCTGAATAAGTGTGTATCAAACCCTAGCAGTGTTAAGGATAGTTTTATGAAAGGACAAAGTCTTTCCCAGAAAAAGGAACCTTTAAGAATCTTTCAGTAATGACAGAAAAAACCAACTAGCAGTGTCAATTTAGGTAAGTATGGCAAATGATGGACTTTCCAACTCCAGTACAAAATATCTCCAATGACGGAAATCTGACAGCTTTGTAGACATTGGAAGGAAAGCTTCTATACTAGAAGCCAATGACATCCCCAAAACAATTGATTAGAAACTGAATTTGCTACAATTTTTAGTAGTTTTCCAGTCATTTGGAATTGCTTATACAGAAAACCACACATCTGCCCATCAATACTGCTTAACCACCACTAGATCAGTGAACATGATTGTTTCCCTGGAGTGATTAGTAGAAGGGTGTCTATGAATATTTGCCAGCACAAATGAGTGACAGCCTATTCATAGGTCTGCAAGAAGAAAAAAGGATTCTTCCAATTATTTCTTGCAAAGAGATCCATGGATAAATAGTCCCAATTGCAAAGGAAATGTATTGTTTTCTCTCTCAGTAATCCACTGTCCTGAAGCTAAAAATTAAAATAGACTCTAGCATTTTCTTTGCCCATCTGATATGGATTTTTTTTCTTGATAAGGCAGACTAAACCCACAAAACCATTGCCTCCTGGCAATTATTATGAACAAGCACTTTATTACTTGTTGATGCAACACACAGACATCTGTTAACAATACAGACATTGATCAATAGCAGAAGCTGAGCCAACTTATTTGCTCTGTTCCAGAACATTTACATGACATTTGGTCTCCTCTCATAGACTTTCCCAACTGTGAACCAGCCATCCCTAAGAGGGGCTCCCAAACTTCAAACCGTGCACACCCGGCAGCAACAACAAATGAAAGCAGAGGACCGGAATTAACCTTCTAACATATTAGGAAAGCTTTGCCACTACAGAATTACTGGATAATTCTGAAGTCCTACTCTTCACATTTATGTTAGCTATTCTAATAAAAAGTTGACCATGAAAGAATAGGGGAAAGCAGAATTCTCTGAAGTTATGCCAATCTATGACTTCTTGAAGACAAAGGAACAAAGTAAATTTGAAATAGGAAGACAATTAACAAGAATACCAGCAAAACAAAAGGAAAATATTAGGGAGTTCCATGTTATATCAGACTTAAGTATTTCTAGCATTCACATTTTTCTTCCAGAGAAATTTTGCCCAGAACTCATTACTGTTCACCAATTTGTGTTAATAAATTGACTACTGCAGAAATTAAGTCCTGCATTATTACATTGTTGAAGGTGGCTCTTACAAAGTTTGAACGGAGAGACATCTGGTTCGTAGTTTATACATGTGGCATTTGTCACTTAGCATTAAAAAGATCAACCTGTGCTGTTGCAACTACTAGAATCATGGAATGGTTTGGGTTGGAAGATCATCTAGTTCCAACCCCCTTGCCATAGGCAGGGACACCTTCCACTAGATCAAGTTGCTCAAATAATCAGGTTGAAATAATCTAATTAAGTAGATCAAGTCTTCCTTTTTATTGATGCATTTATAAAAATAAACAAACAAAAAAACAAAATCAAGATAAACTTCATGTGCTGCAAAAATAGAATAGGCTTAAAGAGCTGCTCTCAATGGCTCCTTCTGTTGAGGGTCAATTTCCAAAACATTTGTTTATTGTGCTCTATTGCCTTGAAGTACCAATTAGGCAGGGGCAGCTGAAGTATATTTCTGAATTATGTCTGACACAGTATTTTCTCTTAGTCATACAGTATTTGAAAACTTTCTCTTTCAGTAGGTTACAAATAAGGTTGGCCAAGGCAGAATGTTTTCTATTTTAGATGATTTTACATTTTAGATTCACTACTAGAGTATTTTCTTTCTGAAACACAGACCTCTTGTGGCTTCAACAATCTTTTCTTCGACTGTACTTATTATCTAGGCAAAATATCCTTGGTCATCTGGCATGTTTCAGTACTATAAAATATCATGCTAACCTAAAAAACATAACTATAACTTTTACACATAGCCCATGGCAGGGGGTTTGGAACTCAACGATCTTGAAAGTTCCTTCCAACCCTAACCATTCTATGATTCTATTATATATACAATGAATACAGAGAGAAGAGAACTGTCCTGATTTCCATTTCAGCTGGGTTGGAGTTAGTTTTCTTCCTAGTAGCTCATATAGTGCTGTGTTTTGGATTTAATTTGAAAATAATATTGCTAACACGCTGATGTTGTAGGTGTTGCTAAGTAGTGCTTATACTAACTCAACGACTTTTCAGCTCCCCATGCTCTGCCAGCAAGGAGGTGCACAAGAAGCTGGGAGGGAGCACAGCCAGGACAACTGACCCAAACTGTCCAGAGGGATATTCCACACCATAAAACTGGGGGGAAAATGGCTGCGAGGTCACGATTGCTGCTCAGGACTGGCAGGACATCAGCTGGCAGCTGGTGAGCAATTGCACTGTGCATCACTCATAATATATACTTTTATTATTTCTTCCTTCATTGTTCTATTAAACTGTCTTAATCTCAACACACGTGTTTTCTATTCTTCTGACTCTCCTCCCCATCCCACCAGGAATGGGGCAGTGAGCAAGTGGCTGGGTGGTGCTGGGTGTGAAACCACAACAATAACTTAAATACACACAGATATCCTGTACTAAAGTACATCACAGATTCAACGACAGATTGCTATACAGATTTATTCCTGTACAATACAGGAAGAAGTACATCTTCATAAGAATATTTTGATTGCATTTTTCCTGTTATAAGAGCATAATTTTTTGTTTTTAAAGCCATTATTCTTCTTCATGTGGATGACAGAATTTGTGTTCCTTCTACCTACCAATTGCAATACAATGGACTTCTCTACTCCAATCACCTAAGTCTATAAATAGCTCTTGCTAAAGGTACTCCATAATCAGAAGTAGTTTACTGCTGAAGCTGTATTTACTCTCCCACTCCAAAAAACCAAAATCACAAAAAAGATCATAATTTAATTCCATGAATGGGAGCACTTTATTTCTATTATTCATTATTCTGTTTTCAGGATAACCTAGAAAACTCGCATCCGATTTAGCCTGATCAAAAGAAGGGAAGTGTGCTGTACAGTTTGTGCTTACAGGAAAGATGGGGGGGAAAAAAGAGCAGTTAATGCTAAAGTCCTCAAACTACAGATATTTTTCACATAACATTTGAAATATTAAACATGAAGGTATCAAGACCGACTGTCCTGACTTGTGTTAACTTCAGTCTTAAGAATCTTCCCCCAAAGTAACAGCTAGAATTAAAAGACAAATCTTCTGAAAAGAAATTACGCCATAAAATCTTAAACCTTATTAATAACTCCTTTATTAAGCCAGCCTGCAGTTGCCTCATTGACAGTGCCCAGAGTTGACATACATCAGAGCAGCACTGGTAACAGTAATAGTTCAGTGCAAAGTGCAGAAATTTTTCATGAACAGAAACAATCTGCAAATATGCACCCTTCAAATATATTAAATAGTAAGTTACTATCACAGGTCAAAATATGATAAAAGCAATCAAAGTAATCTTTGCCAAACCTCTGCACTACCCAAAACATTATAAATCATGCTCAGCCTTGCTTATCAGTGTTTCTTTCTAATTTAGTATTCTAAAGTTACCCTTATTGGTGGGGAATAGGAAATGGTGGCTTTAAATTATAATCTGCCGGCAATGACAATGACAGACTAGTGTTTGGGCCCTCTTTAGGGAAAATTAACAATCATAGAGAACAAGACAGAAACAGGAAGAAAGAAGAGGGTAAAAAGTTCATTTCAACAAAAAGGCCATTTGCAGTGCCAGGAAAAAAATAATGAAATCAATAAGAAATCAGTTTTCCAGCTCTCCCCAAGTAAGGAAATTCATCCAAAGGAAAAAATTAAGGCTGTTACCACCACAACTAAAAGGTTGTTTTCTTCTCCTCATCGTTCTTTGAAATTATTTACACTAGTACTT